CAGTACCAGGCTCCCCCAACTTTTCTCCCATGGAGCAGCTAGCAGGTGAGTGTGAACTGCCCACGTTTTGGTTAGTAGCAGCCAGGTTCTTTAACCACGGCCCCACCAGGCTCCCGTGTGAGTGCAGCTAACCTGAATTTCAGACTTGGGAGAGAAAGGGACAGGACAAGATTGCCTCTTGTTCCCCAGTCCCTGCAAGTGAAACATGCTGTGTTGCCTCATGGTCGGGAAAGGTGGTCTCTGGCAGGTCTTCTCTGCCCAGGCATCTCACCCCAGGGTCCACACCCCAAGGTCCCCTGTGACTGGGTCACATGCACTGGGTCACTTTGTTGGCAGGGCCATGGTCACCCAGGTGGCATGGTGCAGTGGGCAAGGTGCTCAGCCTGTTCCCCAGACACTGTGTGGGTAGCTGGGAATTTGAGGTGGATCTCACGTGACATTTCCTACAAATGCAAGATTTATAGCCGGATAGGCCTCAGTTTATACTCTGTTTTTAGTGAGACTATGTAAAACCCCAAATCAGAATAAACACAGCTAAGGATACTAGTACATCACTTAGAAGGCTGTCTGACTACATGACTCTTCATGTTTCTTCCCATTTTTCTTATTTGTTGACGAGTCAGGTTTTTTGTTTCTTTTTTTTGTTTGTTTTCCATTGAGATCAGTTAGTTCTAGGACATAAACTCACAGAGGTGGAATACCTAGAATACTGAGCTGGAGATCCGTTTTGTTTCCTGGCAGGCCATGAAATACTTGTCTTACCTCCTCTACCCGCTCTGTATCGGTGGGGCTGTTTATTCGCTCTTGAACATCAAGTATAAAAGGTAGGTGCTACAGGCACTTCTCACTTGTTACAGCGTTTGATGAGAAAACACCTCTGGAGTTACTGACTGGCTGAAGTTCAGCATGTGGGCTGCAAGGAGGCCGCGCCTGATGGGGCCGTCCGTGAGCCACATCAGCTTCACTCTCTGCCCTGCCACCTGCGACTGTCTGGGGGGCTTTGGGCAAGGCAGTGTTCGTAACAGCACCACACCGTGGTCATGGTGAGGGTCGTGGTGCTCAGGGGGCTGATCTTTCAATCACAGAACTCTGAGCTGGATACTCGATTATGGGTGACAGATGACAGTGAGCTCAGGCGAGCACTGCCTCCCTTTGTCTTTAATCCCCATGCAGTGGGTCACATCGCCCAGCCTGGAGCATGCTGGCTCTCCTGGGGTAGCACAGGTTTGGAGGATGAGGTCGGATAGGCCTTGGAAAGGGAGAAGGTGAATAATTGCAGTGCAGCCATCTTGTTTGAGGAGTTAGGGGACAAGGGTGCGATGCTGGTGGCTGGTTAGGTCGAGGAGGCCGGCTTTTATAGCTCGTGCTGAGTGGGCTGTTCTGGGAGCCTCTCACCCTCCCTTCCTCTTTGCTTGGCTCTCTGTACGGGGTCACTTTGACCCCACTGAGCCTCCTGGGGACACGGCGGTGGCAGCAGGCAGAGCTGGACGAGGGAAGGCCCTCCTGGCCTCTGCCCTGCAGTCCTGGGGCTCCCAGTCTGCAGACACCAAAACCCCTGTGAAGGGGCGTGCCTCCTCCCTGGTTGCATTGGAGTCCTGAATGTCCGTAAAAAGGTTTTCGTGAAAGAATCTTTAATGGGTTTGTGACAAATGTTAGGTGATACGTGGAATCAGGCTTTTGAAAGGTTAAAATTCCTTTTCTCTTTCCACTTAGTTGGTATTCCTGGTTAATCAACAGCTTCGTCAATGGTGAGTTACCGTTCCTTTCCCATTTCCATGGTGGTAGTTAACTTGTGGGCCACCCCCGTCACCAGCATGCAAAGCCTGATGGGAGTTGAACTGTGCTCACTGTGGCCTGCCCCTCACCCTGGCACCCAGCACTGCTGCCCATTCTGGTGGCTACACTAGCAGATGTCCTGGATCCACAGCCATAAGCACATAGTATGTCATCCGTTCCTCATGAAAACAGTTAAACTCACATTACAGTGGTCCTGTCGTGACATGCGACTTCTCATTAGTTGCCGTGCAGTCAGTTTGGACTCATGCCAACCTCGTGCACACAGTAGAAGTGCTTCACAGGGTTTTCAAGGTTGTGGCCTACCTTCCGAGGTGCCTCGGTGGGTTTGAACCACCAGCCTTTTGGCTGGTAGTCGAGCACTTAGGCATTTGTGCCACCCAAGGGTGCCATAAGATTGCTTAGAGCAAACTGAAAATCCAGAACTAAAAAGCCCATCCAGTGGATGCCAGCTCACTGCATTATCGGGGTTCTGTTCTCTGCATCCTCTGAGGGAGGGGCGCCCTTTCTGTCCTCTGGGGACTAGTGTACTTGCACTTGGCTGCTGTGTGTGGCCCACCTACCCTGCTGGGTTGACCGTAGTGGGCACTTGTGTTCTCTTTGGGAGGTGGCCTCTCGGAGCTGAGGACCAGCAGCACATCCTGTGGCTGAAGAACTCAGCTGAGTTGTGTTCAAGGGTGGGATTCCGTGTGGGATGGCGGCTAGCCCCGCCCTCCCTCTCCCATACCACCCCGTGGCAGCCGTGTGGGCTGGAAGCTGAAGCTGGGTGCTCAGCCCCCACTTGGCCTCCAGCAGAGCTGTGTGATTAATAACGGGGACTTGCTCTCTGGAGCTGTTCTTGACTGTTGGTGGGTTGACCAGTCAGGAAGGCCCATCGAGCAGCTGCTCAGTGGCTGCGGTTGTCTGGAGAGTAGGCGCCTCTCGCTGCCCAGGGGTGGATGGGTGGTGCAGGGTGCGTGCGGCTGGCCGCGTCTTCACGCGTGCTGTGTCTTCTTTCTCAGGGGTGTACGCCTTCGGCTTTCTCTTCATGCTGCCCCAGCTCTTCGTGAACTACAAGGTGAGGCCAGCGTTTCTGTCTCTGTGCGGCACTTGCTGCCTGGTTCTCCTTGATGGCTGACTCTGTGCTTGTGTCTTTCCACCAATCGCCATGGCTGCAGATGAAGTCGGTGGCACATTTACCCTGGAAGGCGTTTACCTACAAAGTAAGTGTGCGCAGAGCTGTTTGGTCCAGGGCGGTGTTTGAGGGAGGGCACAGGCCAGCACGCTCTCCTTGGGGCTGGTCTGCTTTGTCTGAAACCAGACTGGCCCCACAGTTGGCATGGGGTCGACCCCGACTCCTGGCACCCGGTGTGCCCGGTTGGAGCCGAGCTCGCAGGGTTCTCAGGGCCGATTTCTTGAAGCAGATGCCAGGGCTCTCCTCTTGGTGCCCCTGCGTGGGTTTGAACTGCAGCCTTTGGTGGGCAGCCAGTGTGTGAACTGTACCAGCCAGGGCTGCTGCTTCTGAAGCCTCTGTGAGGCACGTGTCTTACTAGTAGGGGAAATGGGGCAGGGAGAAGGGAACATGTGTTCACCCAACTGCAAATCCTGTGAGGTAACGAGTCTGTGGTATTCATGCTTCTGTCCTTCAGCCTTTGAGACTCATTTTACGCCCTTCTTCCTTCCCCCATGATTGAAGGGACTTTCCTGAACCAGGACTTTACCAGCAGCAGGTTCTGCTCTGTTCTAGGAAAGAATAGAAAGGTTTTGTTTTCTTGACATAGCACAAAATATACCTTCTTCTCCATTATCTACCTCATTGTCCAGCATTTCACATTTATGACAGTAAAAAATCTGACTGCTTTGTAGTTTAATGGTGGACACCTGGCAGTAACAAACGCCAAGGTACAAGGTAAGAGTGACACTGGCTGTGATGGTTAAGGTTTTGTGTCAACCTCGCTAGACCATGATTCTCAGGGATTTGTCAGTTAAGTAATGATGAAACTTGACAGTTGGGTGATGATATAATTTGGCAGTTAGGTAATGAGGTCATTGTCTTCCATAATGCTGATTTTCACAGAGTGACCTGGTCTTTGGAACTTAACCGTGCCAATAAGTGAGGAGTAGGTATAAAAGTGAAATAAAGCAGCCGGTCCACCAAAGACACATGGAAACAGTTAGTCTAAGGGACTGGTACCCCGTGTGATGCTCAGCCTGTGCAACTATGAGACCAGAAGAACTAGATGGTGCCCGGCTACCACTGTCAACTACTCGGAGGAGAATCTGTATGACATTCTGGATAGAGAGGGAGAACAATGTGGAACAAAACTCAAAATCATTAAAAAAAAAAATTTAAAAAAAGGATCAGGTTTGCTGGTCTTATAGAGCCTGATGGAACCACTTAGACTATGGCCCCTAGCTGCCCCTCAGGTCTGGAATTGAACCCACTCCTGTGGCTTCCAGCCAAACAAAGGATAGGCATATAAGCTGAACATTCACATTAGATAGATAATACTTCTTGGAGAGATCAGTCATGGGAGAATAGAAGGGCTGTGTATGCACAGGGAGACAGCTGGGGGGGTGGGGCAGGAGTGCAGGGAGGGAAGAGGAGAGATTGGGAAGGGAGCTGTTGAATTGTGGGAAATTACAGTCATCGTCATGAGACTGTATGTGAGCTGCTGTATGGAAAGAGAATTTGCTCTGTAAACCTTCACCCAGATCACAATTTAAAAAAAAAGTGATGGGTCCAGATCCCCCATGTTTCTAGAGCAGTTCTGAACTATCCTCTGTGCACAGAGAACTGGGGCCCAGCACTTGAAGTAGCCGCCCTGAGAATTTTTCCTTATGGTTTCTTCCTGCCTTATCTCTTGTTGCTCTGAGGAGTAGTTTGTTATCCAGCGTGTAAATCATAGCTTGTTTGCTGTAAAGGGATCTACCCGTCTGTAAGGTTACAGGGATGCATGTGGGTCTAGCCATTTCCTTGGGCATTTTCCGTCACGGTCCACCGTGGCCTCACTCCTGCCTTTGCAGGCCTTTAATACCTTCATCGATGACGTCTTCGCCTTCATCATCACCATGCCCACCTCCCACCGGCTGGCGTGCTTCCGGGACGATGTGGTGTTCCTCGTTTACCTCTACCAGCGATGGTGAGTGACTGCCGTCTGCTCCTGTTCTGCTTCAGGTCTCAGGAGTGTTGCTGTCGTTGAGTGAATTTTTAGAAACACCTGCACTGTGTGTCTGAGAGAAAACAATAGGGAAAAAGAATATTTTTAGGTGTTGGTTTGTGTATGTTGTGCGACACTGTTGTTTTGGTTGCTGATGATAATGATGTGGCAAGAAACTCGCAACTGTTTATATCACATTTGTAGTTTAGAAATGTTGATTTCCATTTCAGTTGGTTTGCTCCCACGGTTAAGCGTAACCTCTACTCGATTTCATGCTTATGGCTTCACAGTAGTTGGTGTTTAGCAAAGCCCGTAGAACGTGGCTGCCTGCCAAAGGCTCTCATTCTACACTGGGCTTCAGACACCTAACAGGTCACTGCCCAGGTCTCCAGACAGGAACCTTGTGTCCCTCCTGGAGAGTCTCCTGGGTCGGTACATGTGGATGTCCATCCTCTACGGGGAGGTGGGTCTCTTTGCTGAAGAGCTCGCTCACCATGGGCATTGCATCCCACCACATAAACACCAGCCTTCAGGGCTTTTCCAGAGAGCAAGCACATGGACCCTTCCTCCCAGAGGTCCCAGCCTGTGCACTGTGGAAGCCACGCCCATCCATACCTTCCCTGCCTGCTAGGCCATCTTGTCTTCACCATACAGGAGAGGAGCCTTGCTCTGCAGGCCCTGCCTAGGCACTGCGATTTGGGGTGGGCCTTGGAGGAGGGCATGTTCTGCCCCTGGCATTGGGTAAAACCCCGTTCCCTCCAGCGAGAGCCTGCCTCCTCCGAAGGAGCCACCCCCTCACCAGGGCCAGGCTGAGTGTGCCCCGGGCAGGCCGAGCATTCGGGGAACTCCTAGGGGCCACCCCGCCTCACCCTCCAGGGCCCATGGCACCCCACGTTTCCTCCCCGGGGCTCCTTGGGCCGAGGCCTGGAGCCAGTGTCCAGAACCTTCCGTCCCAGTGAGTGTCATGTGAGGATCCTTCCATCTGTGCGTCTTAGTCTTCAGCGTGGGTGGTCACAAACGTGCAGCAGGATTTGAGGAGCCCTTGGGTCCCACCCTGTTCAGCATGTGAGCCTGGGCCGGCTCCCTCCACCACTGTGCCCTGCAGAATGTGAGTGATGACATTCGGTGTGTGACTCTGAGAGACTGACATGTTGGTCCCATAACTGCAGTGCCGTTAGCACATGTGAGCTGCTGGAGGGGTCTGCTAGTGTGTGTGAGCACGTGTGAGCTGCTGAGGGATGCCGCTAGCCCGTGTGAGCCGCGAAAGTGTGCCATTAGCATGTGTGAGCACGTGTGAGCGCGTGTGAACTGCGAAAGGGTGCCGCTAGCCCGTGTGAACTGTTGAAGGGCTCCTTGCTGTTGGCAGAGGCTCCGTGTTCAGATGGCAGATTTCACTGAAGTGTTGAGCATGGCTGGTTCGAAGCAGCACCCATACAAGATCCACATGCTGGAAGTGACAGGCCTTTCAAGTCCCCTCTCATCTGGGTTGGGTCCATCTCCTCTCCCCCACCCCCCGAGTTGTTCCTTGAGCAAGCCTGGTTGTCTGTCCTGCAGGGTTTTGTGTCCTGGGAACAGGGTGCTGCCAAAGAAGCCTGTTGCTGGCCTCTGACGGGCTGCCCTCGTGTTCAGGGTCTGCAGCGCCGCGCCGTCCCTCCGGTGCTGTGGCTGGGATGCTTCTCTGGGGGCCCTCCCACCTCTGCTGGGTGGCCCCACAGTACAGTCCTGTGGGAAGGCAGGACAGAGGCTTCCTCCAGCCGTCCGCTTTATTCACCAGGGCTACGACTGTTGGAGATCGCTGGACCCTGGCAGCTCTGGTGGTGACAGTAGATACTTCCTGGTCTCGAGGGGAACTTGATGCTGAGGTCCCTGGGGGGGATTACCCTGTGACACTCACGCTACCCTGTCAGAGGCCAGTGGGCTGTCTCCAAGGTGGCCCCTGAGCCTGATGGTTCTCTTACTCTTCATAAGGTATCCAGGCTCCTGGACCTGTCCTGTTCCAAACTTGGGAACAGTTGTCTTGCCCAGGGCCCAGGGGCTTTGCAGTGGGAAGTGGGCTTTTTAGAGTTGAAGCCTCTGTTTTCTCATCAGGGCCTTTCAGCTCTGGGACACACATGCTGCGTCACATCGCACAGGTTCACAAACCTCTTTGTGCTTCAGTCTTGGTTGGGGTGGCCCCGTCAGGACCTCTGGGGGCTTCTGTGAGGATGAAAGAGGTGCAGTTGCAAAGTGCTGGATGTTGTCCTGGGGAACGGAGATGTTCCTGTCCGCTTTTGACACTTCCTGTAGTGAGACCCCCGGACCCACCCCGCCTTCTGACACAGCCATCCATGCCCTCCGATTGGCCAGCTTTGCTTCCCTGAGTGGGGGCACTGGCCTGGCCTTTTAGAATAAACAGCTGTGGGGACAGGGAGACACATGTCCCCAGGACACCTCCCCATCCTCCTGGAGGCAGTGCACCTTGTGGAAACACTGAGTTGTTTGATCAGGCTGGATATCGAACACGAGTCAGCACTGCTCGTGTGCTTCTCTGTCAGGAGAGCGTGTGGAGGTAACCGCCCTTATGTCGTTCTAGGCTTTACCCTGTGGACAAGAGCAGGATCAACGAGTTTGGAGAGTCTTACGAAGAAAAGTCCAAGTGGAAACCGCACCCGGACTAAACGCCCAAGGACTCTGAGCACGCCACCGGCTGTGCGTGCGCAATTCTGATTCTTCTGAAAGAACGAAGTTTTGGTCCTCACTTACCTGAGTATTTTTGGAAGCTTTTTGGTGGAATTTCCTGGACGTTACATCTTTGTTGCCAAAACCTCTTTGAACGTTTCAGTCACTCTCCTGCCTGCCCTTTGTGTCACTTTTGGAAGGAACTGTCAGCACTTACCGGGTCTGCTCCACCCAGCAGTTAGCACGGGCCTGCTCCCGGGCTGGCTGGCGTCTGCGGGTCGCCCTTTGCTGTGAGGCGCTCCGCACGGCTGTCCAGTGTGGGGCGGTGGGCTGTGCCAGCTCTCAGCGTGCCCACCACCTGCAGGCCCCCGAGCCCAGGAGCTCCCGCTGGTAAGCCCCGTCCGTTGGCGGCCGGCAGGACGTCAGAGCCCCATTTCAAGTTGTTGGTTTTTGACCTGCTCCTCATTTGAACTTCAGATGCTCACATAAATTCACTTCCCGTGGACTCTCTGGGATCAAATAGCTTTTTTTTCTTTTGTTTAAAATTTTGATTATTTTAAAGTTTAATGTATGTACGTTTCTATTTTAAAATAAATTTCTCTGGCTGTAATGTTCTTCCCTTTGTATCATATGGAAACTATTTCAGTTATTTTAGCTTAAGCGTTTTCCCCACAGTTACCACTTGATGCATGAAAAGGAGGAAATGAAAAAAAAATCTCTCCCAAGCCTTTAAATCATGAATGTTCTTAAGTATTTATATCTAACTCTTCTAAAACATTTACAGAGAAACAACCCCAGAAATCCCATCTGCGTGCCTGGCTTTTCAGTTCCTTAAGTCGAGATTCTCCTTGGAAGGGGAAACCTGTGAGAGCCATTGCTCAACGGCTTGTTCTCACGATTCTCACAGATGTTCGGTCTTTGACAGGGAGTAGTCTTACCACTTTTTGTCGCTAAAACTGCAAAATATTTGTGAGTGTGTGAATGTGTGTGTGAGTGTGCACATGACTGTGAATGTGCACGTTTGTGTGCATGGGAGAGTCTGTGCACGGAGACTGTACACGTCAGACTGTGCATGTGAACTGCGGGTATCTGGCACCCACGTTGGCATCTCAGCCCCTAAGGAGTTGGGGGACAGGCCTGAGACAGTGTAGTCTCGTCCTCATGGCTTCAGCTCAGTTCCTGGTGCCCCTCATACTCGTAGCCTCAGCAGCTTTTTGAAGTTCATTGCCGGTGCCCATGTGCCCTTCTGCCTTCCTAGATGAAGATGAAGCCCGTGTAGGGTGCCGGGCCCTCCACGAGTGAGTCTGTGTCCTGGGTCTACTCTGGGTGGGGGTACTCCGGGTGGGGCTACTCTGGGTGGGACCCCCTCGTCTACAGGACTAGACACTGCAGAGCGCTCGTTAAATCTTAGAGCTCGGGAGTGCTTGTCAAGAAACCTGCCCGTTAAGGTGTTGGAAACGGCACTCGATGATTTAGTTTTATCAATTAAAATGCAAATACAAATTACACATTGTCTTCCATTTGGTTGGAATAACCACCGTCCATGTATCTAGAGGGAGCTCCGGTGGCGTAGTGCCTAAGACATTTGACTGCTAACCAGAAGGCTGGCGGTTCAAGCCCACCAGCCAGTCCTCTGACTTAACAGTGGTGAATTTGGTTTTTGTTTGGATAATATATATCAATATATCATTCACTTCAGCTTATAGTCAATGCTCAGTTCCAGGTTGTTCCCCTTTAATAACTGGTGGAGACCCTGGGGGTACAAATGGCTAACGCATTTGCTGCTAACCAAAGACTGGTTTAGAAGTCCACCCAGAGGTACCTCGGAAGAAATGCCTGGTAATCTGCTTTCAAAGAATCAGCCATTGGGAAAGGGAAAAAAAGCCCTACTAGTACTGTGTGGTAAATTACTCATGTAAAGGTTTTGGAGGATCTGTCTCCCATCTTTTAAAAGATGAACTGAAATTTAAGCAAAATGAGTTTTGAGTATGAGTCCTTCCAGGTTGCTTTCAGCTTTAAGACTAAGGGTCTCATTTGACACTCTTGACTTCTGTTTCTGGACTAATGTTCATAACGGGCAGTGTTTTTTTAAATATCTTGTTTCTGTTGAGGACAGACATGGCAGGATGTACACTGATTGAACGGTTTCTACGTGCACATTTCAGAAACACTGAGGACGTTCTTCAAATTGTGCAGCCATTCTCCCTCTCCTTGCCCTAGTCGTTCCTCCCCCCATTAAACTCACACCCAAACCAAACTAGCTACTAGCATGTACTTACAATGATGACCCTCACTGGGATTCCAAGGCCGGAAATCTACCAGCATATACATACAATGACCTTCCCTGGGATTCCAAGGCCATAAATCCACCAGCATATACATACAATGACCTTCCCTGGGATTCCAAGGCTGTAAATCTTTATGGAAGCAGATCACCCTGGAGTGGCTGGTGGATTCAAACCACCGACCTTTTGGTTAGCAGCCAAATGCTTTAACCTCTATACCATCAGAGCTCCTTAACATAAACTCACTGCCCCCAAGTTTCCTATCTAATATTTCTAGTTGGTGCCAATCCAATCCCATATAGGTAGATCTTAAAGGACCACAGAGTTCAAGGCAACTACTCTTCCCTTGTTCAGCTGAACTGCTGTTTGACTTTAAGAACACTTCAGGGGATAATTTTAACAATAGTTTCAGAGGTTCACCCAGCCTCCCTGTCTCCAGAAAGTCTCCATTCCATGAGAATTTGAAATTCTTTTTAATCTTTAAACCAAAAGGGATCAGTTGAGTTTATGTTGGTGTGGGAGGAACAGCTTAGAAAAGGAGGTGGGAATGTCTGCACAGTTCGAAGAGTGTAGTCAGTGTCGCTGAATCGCTCGTGTAGAAACTGTTGAATTGGTGTGCATTCTGCTCTGTATAATTTCAACAACAAAAATAAAATACTAAACACATACACAACAAGCAGTGTAGCCTGATAAGATGGCTGCCCACATCCAGCCCACAGAGCACCGTGTGGTGGTTGTCTAGGCTTCAGGAGGGACTCTGAGGTCCACTTTGCTGACCTGAGCTTACAAGACAGCGTGGCTGGAGTGATCTGGGGAAAGGAGGGCTTGCAGCATGTGATGTGATCTAGCTGGTCAACTGTCTGGTGAAACATGGGGAGTTACGAGCAGACTGAGGATTCCAAGAAATGTCCAGCACACGTCGGGGTGGGCATCCAGTTGCCATGGAGAACCTGATTCCTGAAATGCTTGACTTTTACTGTCCATGTACATCTTCTCTTTGGACCTGATCAAGCCAGGAGACAAGTGTGGTTCTATCCATCACCATGAATAAATTGCAAATGATGGCACAAGAAAATGGAGAAAAAAGATGGTGTCTGCATTTAAGAGAAAAATGGCAAGATTTTATGGTGGATAAAATAGGCCAAGAACTTTTGTGAATGAAGTAGGCAGGCAGAAAACGTACAAGATGAACCTGGGGCATCTTATAGTGCCAGAAAGTAGGGAAGTGCTCAAAACAAAAAAGCAAAAAGCCACAGGGAGGGTGGTGTCTGAGGGACACCAGGACCAGCAGACAGGGCTGCCAGTGAGCAGAGCTGGAACAATTTGAGCACCAAATAAAACAGTGTTGGGTTACAACCCAAAGTAGAAAATGAATATCCATTCATAAGGAGAATGAAGTTGGAAGACTCACACTTCCCATTATGAAAAACCAAAGTGGGCCAGCTTGTAGGCATGCGGAGTATGGAATTCAGTTACACAGGAATGCAGAAGGCTGGCCAAGAGATGGAAGGACCAGAAAGGGTGAGGTTGGTAACTGTGGCCTGAAAAAGTGAAGAAGGGCCCAGTATGGAAAGGTCAGGAGTCTGGCCGGGTTGGAACTGATGAGGAGCTTGTCTGAAAGGGAATCATGAGCTTCATTCATATTGATGAAGGGCTAATCACAGCACAGCAGGCCTAGCAAAGGCCAACTTGTCTCAAGGTTTATAGACCAAACAATGAACAGAAGGCGTAAAGACCAGAAAAGCTTCTCTAACCCGTCTGGTGGATGGCAAACAGTGGAGGGTGGATGTGTAACCGGGAACTCTGGCTTCTGCTGGCATGACTCTGTCAGGGGCCAGAAGACCGAGGTGGGGGAGGCTAAGCTGGGGAGTGTGAAACACAAGCTTTATTGGTTGGCCAAGCAAGGACATAGGACTAAGTGCCTTCCATCATTGCCTTGATGATGGGATGTGGCAAGTGTCTATGGGGCCGGGGATCCACCTGGGGTGCTACAAAATTTTATTTAAAGGGCCAGTCTGATTTCTGTCTCTTGAGCACACGCCTGGTATGGGTGTGGCCCAATGCTGATCAGACTTCTTGCTCTGTAGTTGGGTCAGTGCCTTTCTGCTTCCCCCAGGAGGGATCCGCACCTTACTTAGGCCGGGTGTGGGGTCAGCTCAGGCGGCAAGATGGCCTCCGGAAGTGGTCTTAGCCAGTTTCTGCTATGACTGTCTGCCTTGCAGGATGGAAAAGTACCTGCAAAGAAAAACAACTTCAGGAAAGGGTTAGGATGGTGGGATGATTTTGGTTTTATATGGGGGCTTGAGCTCTGTTGAGCTCCATCTCAGAGCATAGTGCCTAAGGCACTTGCCTGCTAACCAGAAGGCTCAAACCCACCAGCCACTCCTCAGAAGGAAGGTTGGGCAATCTACTTCCGTAGTGATACTGCCTCGGCAACCCAAGGAGGGGTCGCTAAGAGTTGGGTACGACATGACGGCACATAACAACAACAACAACTTCAAAACAATCACAGCACAGACACCAGGAAGCGAGGTAAAGATCTACCTAACTCCATTTCTAGCTGCCAGGCAACCACCATGCTACTGACCCAAGACCCCTGAGGCAAGAGACCACATTTTAGAAAAAGAAAAGGTTACCCAGTGGTAATCGCGGTTCTTTGTTTTTACTTTAACTAATCACAGCATGTAAGTCAGTCATTTACTCATAAATGAAAG